TAACTTGCAAGTCCATTGGAGAATTATTTCTCGATTCAATTTGTCTAAAAGTTTCTCAAGTGCGTAATCTTCAAATCCTACTTTATCATACATGTCAGATACTAAATCCAAAAGATATCCATTTAGGTCCTTCAGGAATTGACTGTTGTTTCCAGTACTATGCTGTTCAAATCTCTCATGAACATATGAGAGGCCGTTGAAGAACGCTTTCCAGGGTAAATGATTTTTCTCTTGTTTCAAATATGTCGATGCGCTCATCAGTAATTCGTAATCTACGTAATTAGCGCGAGCCAGGTTGAAGAGATCGTCTATAATTTGCGCGCGATTCAAGACATCGATCTTTTCGAATTCTTTATTATTTAGCTGGTTGATTATTTTCTTCCACGAGAAAGGATCGTAATTAACACGGTAGAAGCCAGTTTGTTTGTAATTTACAATGAACCAATCGTTATTAGAATTAATAATTTTTGTCTGAGGTGTTGATCCTAGCCATGTGACCTCTGAAGTTATATTGTCGTTCAACATGTTGGATTGAACAAATATAGTAATTGGTATCCAGTAAAACTCACTAAACTTAGGCTCATCGTCAGGTTTATTTTTATTTATTAGGAACCGTTCCTGCAACACAACATGTTAAATTGAATTATAAAATAAAAAAAAAATAGATCTAAGAAAAGACCGGAACAACGACATAATAAAATTAAATATAATGTTACCTGAGAAAGCGTTAGTATGGAACTAATGTATGTGGCATTCACGACGGGATATCCCGGTTGATCCGTCCAAGTACTCATGACTTCCTCGACGCTTGCATCTCTATTGAGAATTGGTATTTTTACAAATGACTCGAAACTTTCCCATAAATCCGCGGGACGTGCCGTACTGTACATTCGTTTCGTTAAATAATCACGGAGTGCCGATATGGTAGCGTTTTGGCCGAATGCATTGAACATCATTCGCAAGACACTGGAGGCTAAAATAAACATAAATATTTTAATATTAATATTAATGTATTTAGCAGAATATTGATATCAATAAATATATATGAGTTAATTTAATAATAAAGTAAAGTTTATAATTGTAAACAAAACGTCATTATGATATTAATTGCTTTTGGAATAATAAGTTTAAAATAGTACATTTTTTATAGTAATAACAGATTTAAATTTTGCATAAGTTTTTATACGTTTAGTTATGCATTACGTAGATTCTTAATTATGATTTTTACATACGATATTATACATACATTTCCCGTAAGTGACGTAATCAAAAATATCAGCTATTTCTTCTGGTGTCCTGACACGATTTGTCATTGAGTGTGTTGAAGTCGAAGCATCTTTTGCCAGAGCAGGATGCAGCTCGTAAACCACAAATTGATCCATGAATTTATCTTCTGGGTGTATCTAGGAAAATGCAAATTAAAATTATTGTATTTGTTATTTATAATAATATCTGTATCTTCTTCATTATTTGAAAAATTCAGCTTTGTAATCTTTATATTAAATTGGTACGTTCTTTTAAAAATTTGACAAAACTCTAAAGAGAATTAAAATGAGAGTTGGTTGATTTTACGAATTTTTAAGGAAAAATATTATAAATTAGATTTGTTTCATTTTGAAAAACAAAGTTTTATTTGTGATTAAATTCATATTTTTCAAAAGTGAAATTATGGCTTCTCTTATATACAAATAGGGATATCAATCATTACGCACCTGCTCAGATATAAACCATTCGAAATATTCCGCGAAACCTTCGTTGAGCCAAATGTAATCCCACCATTCGCAAGTAACGAGATTTCCGAACCACATGTGAGTAAGTTCGTGCGCTATTACGTTGGATACGTATTTTTCGTATGTGGATGTAGTTTCTTTTTTATCAAAGAAAAGTCCGTACTCGCTGAAGGAATCAGATTATTTTTACAGTAAGAGAAACTAGCTATATAAAATCTAAATAGATGACACATACGCATTTCATCGAACATTAAGAAAAAATAATAATATTACCGGAAAGTAGCAAGGCCCCAGTTTTCCATCGCGCCGTTCGAGAAATCTGGAATTCCTATCAAGTCCAGCTTAGGCAAAGGAAAGTCGATGTCGGTAATATTTTCCAACTCGTAAATAACCTGCATGCCAATGATTCGAGCGCGTTCGCCATGTGATGCGACTTCCGGTCTACCCCATACGTTGAGATGTTCGTTATCAGGTTTGGATGTAGATTTAAATTTGGAGACAACAAACGCTACCAGATATGTCGACATATTAACGTTGCTAGTGTAGAATGTGTCCAATACATACTCATCGTTCCTAAATAACAGATAATTGTAATAACATCAAGTTATTGACTTACGTACTATTTACACTCGAAATTGATGCGACGCATAATATTCAAAAATTTGTTAAATATATTTTCATTTATACTTACACTGGAGTTTCTTTTTCCAGTGGCATATTACTCAGTGATTTGTAGTAATTCTTTGGCCTTTGAATGTTAATTGTAAACCTCGACTTAAACGCTGGTTCGTCGAAGCAGGGGAAAGCTTGTCTAGCATACGTAGGCTCGAATTGTGTTGTAGCTAGCCAGCTGTGAAAGAACAGACATATCAAATATTAATAAACTGATGTAATTAAATATATTATTATTTTCGCGCATTAACATTTATAATGAGTTAAAGTTAATGAGAGTTTAATTAGAAAGTTGAAAAGTGAAACTACAAAATCACCTTTATTTTTTTTTTAGTAAATTATATCAAGATATTATGTATTATTTATTATTAAATATTATAATGAATGTTATACTAACTGTTGCACTCCGTTGTCGAGATATGAACTACGATAGAATCCGTTCATATCGTCATTAAGAGTCCCGTTAAAATCGATTTCCGCTATTATCTCCTCATTCGCATGTACATAGTTGGACAAATATATCCTTAGTTGTTGCGGGATATGAGTCGTATAATTTACCAACTGTATTTCTGCGCCATTTCTGAAGACTTTGACATTTAAGATATCGAGTTTGTGAGAATTGAGAGCTATCAACGGCGTATTTTCCCGAACTTCCATGTGTATTTTCACTTTTCCTTCAAAGGTGCCTTCTTCCATGTGAGGTGTGAGATGTATGTCATACAGTCTCGGCTCAAGCGCTTTCGGCAAGCGGTGCGTATTGCTCAAAAATAGATTGTCCAATGTTTCAAAAACTACCGGCGCTTTAGTGTCGTACCAATCGAATTCATATTTCGCCGTTGCCAAATAGGAATCGACGTATCTTTTGAATTCTGGTTCTTTGTCAACCAGCCACTCGAGTAATCCTTGATACTGCCAATCAAAAAGATAAATTTTATTAAACAGATATTGGTTAATTAATTGTCAAAAATTCTAAACAATAGTTTGCGTTTTATTAAAATTAGAATATATGTATGACAGATTACCTTTTCAAAGAGATCATTGGTGGATAATCTGCTTGCCAAAGCGCTCACTATATTTGCGATTTTTGTGTAATCATTATAACTGTAATCGAAAATTATATGTTATGTTGCGTTCTTAGGCATTTTTTTTTATTGTTATGCAAAGTTACTTACTGTCGCTGCAATAGATTATCGTAATATTTTTCAATCACTTCCATCACGACTTCAACGCCAATTAAACTTGCATCGTAAACGCTTGAGAATACTTTTGCGCTATCTTGGTACCGTATATTCGAATTCGGTGTGATTGCTTCTTGCAATAATCTTAATTTAATATAAAAAACGTTATTATTAATGCAATTAATCTAGCATTGCAATTATTTTTCAAACTACTTAATAAATTGTTCGTTTCTTGCAGTTATTAAAAGGGCATCAAACGTATAAGTATTAAAAAATTTGTGGAATAAGTTATTGCATCTTTGTAATTTCCAACGTATGATATTATATTATTATTTATATTTGATAGAATTTTAAGATTAATAAATGTAATTTATGGATGACAATCAATTATTTTTGTTGATTGCTCGATACAGACGATAATATGATTATGCATACTCACGTTTCTAAAACAACTTTGTTCTCTGAACAAGCCAACGAATTAAGAATTACAAGTTTATCTGTGTTCACATTACTACTCAAATATTCTTTCCAGAGAAATTTGTAGCTATAATCTGTCTTATCCTTTCTCATGGCTGTACAGTAAACGACGTCGCGGTAATTCGGAGGTATTCTGTTAAAAAATCAATAATTTAAATCTCGTTGATATGATATTACATATATCTCATCTTTATTTATTATATCTGTATTTTTTTCTATACCTACTTTTCATACAATTACACATGAGCTTGATTATGTAACTCTACATACATTATGCCTTATGCTAACAAACATAACAAAAAACACATTTTATTATTTGAACTTACGTTTTCGAATGTTGTTTCTCTTGGAAATATTCTAGAGCCGTGAATATACAACGATCGATACCTAATTTACAGGCCCAATTGCGAGTATGTTTTCTTAACATCATAGTCAGATCGTCGTCTATTTCCTTATCATCCCCAAAGCCTCCTAAATTTCCCAAAATTTTGTCTACTAACGATGTTAACCAATTCTGAAAAAGTCATACATATATTAATCTTTTTCTGTAAAATTATTTACAGAAGTTTTTATAAAAATAAATCTAAAGAAAACAAAATAATAATTAGAAAGCTTAAATCAGATTTGTAACTTAAAATAGAATTTTATATAAAAATATGTTAATAAAATATACACAATCGAGAAATTTCATTTAAGTTGAAAGAAAAAGAGAAGCTTGGGAGCTATTAATAAATTTAAAATTCTAAAATAAATAAATTCTTTTCATATAATTCTTGTGTGCTTTATATATAAATTATAATAAATACAAATAAATTAAAACAAAGATATAGATTATATAAAAAAATCTATAAAAATTTCAGTAATTATCATATTTTAGTAATAAATTAAAAGAAAATGTAAGCAAATTTAATTTATAATTTATATAAAATATATTAATTATAATACATATAAATTTATACATAAATGTAATATACGTACTTTGTATAAGCCTTCAATATCGCGTCCCGTAAAACGATTGTTCAAATAGGGCAGATTATTGAAGAACGCAATCCAGGGATAATAACTAGTTTCTTGTTTTAAATACATTGTAGCGGATATGGCAATTTTGTAATCAATGTAGCCTGCTCTTGCAAGATTCATAAGATCATCAATTAATGCTGCGCGATTGATTTCGTCAATTGTTTCAAAATTCTCATTTTTAAGATAATCAATCAGCTCCATCCAATGTTCTTTTTTGTAATTTACACGATAAAAACCTGGAAACAAATGTGTATATCTTTGTAAATGCAAAAATTTTAAAATGACGAATATCATCGAATAGTGCGTAAAAATGAGAAATAATTAACAATATTGAAATTTTGCTAATTGTTATATTTATTGTTCTTTCTGATTCGTGCCAATTTATAATTTGCTTCGCTTAATTACCTGATTGCTGCTTGTTGAAGATTAAAAGTGAGTTGGGTAACGGGTTTAGTACTCTTGTTATTCTATGTTTCATCCATAATTTCGGCGTGGTATCAGAGTCTTTTGAACTATTCTGAACTGATGTCCATGTGATTGGAATGTAGTACCACATAGTAGTATCAGAATTATCTTCTTCTTTTTTAAGGAAGAAACGTTTCTGATTCATAACTATAAATGTATTTGAAACGTGGACATTGACGATGGGATAGCCAGGCTGAATTGTCCATGTGTCTAAGATGACTTTAATATCTTCTTTCAGTCCCTTCTCATTTATCTGTTGTTGAAGTGAGTCATACAAGTGGTCGGGCTCGGTAGAGTTGTATTGTCTAAGAAATTAATTAAAAAGTGATAAATACTTTAATTTGGCAGTTAAGATAATTATACAATTAATTAGAAATGTACAAATATTAATTACATTTTATAATTGCCAAATAAATATTTATAGCTGTATTTATCTATGTTCGAATAACAGTTAATCCAGTAAACAATTATTAATTATAATTAGAAAAGGTCCTATTCGTTAAAAAGAATATTTGTGATAAGAAAAACATTATTGTCCCATACCCTTTGCTGAGATAATCAGTTAATGCTTTATCCAATACATCGGTACCAAATGTTTTCTCGACCATTCTTAATATGCTACCACCTTTGGCATATGTGATTGTGTCAAATATACTTCGAATTTGTTCAGGGGATGCTACATCGTGACTCAGGGCATGTGCAGATTTGGAACTATCTGCCTTGAAAGCAGAATGTACTTGGTCCACTACAAACTGCGATTCCGACGTCGTGTCATTAAATACCTAAAATGCAAGTAGTAAATTTATTATTTAAGAAAATCTTTATCGTTTAAACATAATGCAGTATTCTCATTTTACTAAAGATTTAAATTTCACGAGATTTTCCATAAATCGGCATTATATGTTTTAATTACGTACACGAGCAGGAGCGCGATACTCGAAGTATCGAGCGAATCCCTCGTTCAACCACAAATACTTCCACAACCGAGGACTGACCAAATTTCCGAACCATTGATGGGAGATTTCATGAGCAATCACGTTTCTGATATCCTGCCTGTTTGTGATCGGCGAGTGATTCTCGTCGTATAACATGCTCGATTCCCTGTATGTTAAAAGGCCCCAATTCTCCATTGCGCCTGATCCGAAATCAGGCAGTGCAGCCATAGAAAGCTTTGAGAGCGGATATTTCTGGTTATATCTTTTTTCGAAGAAGCTCATCAATGGCGATATTATGGATAAAGCGTAATCGGTTTGATCGATGGCATTGGTACGTGCATGTACAGACAATGTAGTTCCATCCTGCATTCTTGTGGAGTTAGACTTGAAATCGGAAACAATAAGTGCCACTAAATACGTGGACATTTTTGGTGTCTCATAGAAGGTGTATGTTGTACGATTATCGCTGCAACAATTGTTAAAAAATTATTTTAATCTTTGTGTTTCGATGGAATTTTGTAAGAGTCATGTGTTATAATTTTGTTCTCACAATGGAAAATGCACTTATAATATTTATTGTTAACGCACTGTAATATCTGTTATATTTCAAATATTTATGAAGTTCAAAAAAACATCTTTCAAGCATTTTTCTGTATCAAGATATATTAATATTAATACTGTCAGATTTTTTATTCTTTTGGAGATAAGAAAAAAAAAATAATATAATATTAAAGTAAACGTATTTACGATTGATTAAAAAATTGTGAGAAAGAAAGCTTCGAATTATATTCTCCTTAAGAAATACATTTAAATTTATACGTACCCAATTAGGAGCGCCTGATACACCATATTACTGATGGGCTCGTAATTTGGCGGCACGCTAACTTCAACAGTGAAGGTCGCTTTCATTGCTGGTTCATCGAAGCAAGGGAACATTTTTCTAGCGCCAACGGGTTCCAAGTGCGAGGCAACAAGCCATCTAGTACATCAAACATTTCGCATTCAATCTTTAACGTAGGAATTTTAGTTATAAATAAAAAGGGAATATAGATATATAAGACACTGAAAAATGCTATTTTACACTTTCTATCTCCCTTTAGTTTTGAATTTAATTTTTAATAAAACTGATAATTTAATTTAAGATTCAAGATAGAATTATTGTTGAAGGATTATTGTCAACTGAATTGTAATAAATTGTAATAGTAAATACATTAGGTTTTAGAAATTTTCCTCAGTATTTTTATAAAAGTTCCTTGAAACTGAAAGGATATTCTGAAGAAAGATATTCTGAGAAAGTATTTAATGCTAACTTATATTTGACGCAAATTTAGTGAATACAATAATAATGTTCAACGTTACCTCGTTTCATTGTTCTCGTTTACGTAAGAACTTTTGTAAAAGCCACGAAGCTCTGCCGGATTCAAAGAACTCGTGTATTCGATTTCAATGGTCACTTCCGCGTCTTTGGGTAGTTCTTTTTCAAGATATATCACGAGAAAGTCATATCGCTCTTTGATTTTTGTTTTCAGGACTTTGTTCATAATATTCTTATTTTTCACTTTGAATGTCACATTGTGTCGTTTAATTTCAATTCCCGACCAGTGTAAAACGATCTGGCTTGTCGGATGTTGCTTAACATCGGCTTTGATTGTCACCTTTCCGTCGAAGGTAGCATCTTCATCTTCAAAATAAGGCGTGACGGAAACGATGTAACTTTTAGGAATTATATTCTCGGGTAGGGGAAATTTTGCCTCGTCGTATTTTCGTAATCGTTGAATTATAGATGCCGAATAGGAGTTGAACAGTTCCAATTCATGCTGAGCAATCTTTAAGGAGCGCTCCAGAGATTGTTGAATCGACGTAAAGTCCTCCCTGTGATTATTTATAAGTCTGTCGAATTTGTTTATTGATTCAGTGGTAGTGAGACATTGCGACGTTCCATCGAGGATTGTGGCTATTGTACTTTGTTCTCCGTAGCTAAAAGGAGAGAGAAATGCTTATAAATCAAAGTAAATGATCTTTTTTTATACATATCCAACGAATCTCTTTTAAATAACATTATGCATAGCCAAAAAGAATAAAAAAATACTTTACGGAGTTATGTGTAATACATATTAATATATTAGTACATTATTAATATATCCCATTTATTTGTCCGATTCGAACGTTGTGTTCTATTTTTCTTTGTGAATCAATGTTGCATAATTAATATATTATAAAGATAACTTACTACTCCTCCATTTCTTTGTGATACTTGTCAACAAAATCA